CAGGATTTTAAAAAAGGTCTTTAACTAATATGGGGGAAAAGTCAAACAACTTCTTGTGCAGTTTTTATTAGATTTGAGTTATGATTTGTTCAGTTTTTATGAAATTTAAATTAAACCAGGTAAAGCTTCAAAATAGTTGCCCAAATACATTATACACTTTTAAAATTTTAAATAACCTGGCACCTAGCTATCTGATTGACCTTCTTAATTTATATATCCCCACAAGGGCACTCAGATCCTCTAATCAGGGGCTCCTAATGCAACCAATGTCTCGACTAAAGACGAAAGGCGATCGTGCCTTTGCTTTTGCTGCACCAAAACTGTGGAACAGCTTGCCGGTTGATGTCCGTGCGTCGGAAACTACTCAATCTTTCAAATCACGGTTAAAAACTCATTTGTTTAAGCTCGCCTTTCAAACCACTTAGTATAATTTCCTCCCGGTTCGTGCTTGTTGTAATATTACCATTCTATAACTGTATTTTTTGTTGTTGACTGTTCTCTTTTGTTGTAAATCTGCAAATATGGCTCCCCTGTGAAGCACTTTGTTGTACCTGTGACTTTTAAATGTGCTATAGAAATAAAATTGAAATTGAAATTGAATACATGCCCTGAGTCATTTCATCATGTCTGTGAAATTTAGAGACTTGCCTGTAGTAAAAGTAATAAGACAGCCTGCGATTAGTTTTATGATAGTTTAACCAATCACTGTACAGAGAAAGTAATTATAAAATTGGTCTTAGTCAAAACTAAAGCGCTTCTTGGAAGTGGCGTTTTTGTTAGCTGTCCAAATGTCTCTAGAGACTGTATCAGTCTCGCTCACTGTATCAGTTCATTTCTTTTGTCTGCAGGATTGAGTAAATATTTTTGAGTCCATGAATGCGTTTCTTTGGCATAACTTTTTATTTCCCTGATCTCCCTCTTTGAGAATTTGATTCTGTAAAGAATTCACTTTAAAGGCCAGCTGCTGAATTGCAACACAAGGTGGAGGCTCATTCCTTATCGTTGATTTGAGCAAGAGTTAAGAGTTGCACACATATTGTTTTCATTTGTCATTAGCAGACATAGTGCTTAAGATATTGGGTATTGTGAGGTTGTTGTTATGTACTGTGCTGTGTGGGTTGCATACATACACCTTCACAAATACACGAGGAAATGCTTTTTTTCTGGCAGGCAGCGGGAAGCTGGATTGGGAAGAAGAGTTATTATACGCTTGGATAATTATTCCTTATATTTGACTCTACAAATCCTGGAAATCAGATACTTACTTGGGATGGCATGACCTTGACCTCAGTGACATGTGAAGAAGTCCTTTTTTTATCATGATATAGCCTTCATTGCAAACCTTAAATAAATATCTCTAAAATTCTAAACATGTCTCAGAGTTATGCTGAAAAACATAGTTCATGCAATAAAGTCTTCTAGGCTGGACTCATTAATATCAGGCTGTTCTAAAAGTTGTCTAAAAAGGCCCCAGTTAATCCAAAACTGCAGTGAGAGCACTAGAGACGAGAAAGAGTTACATATTAGCTATTCTTCCTTGGCTTATTTGGGGTTCCTAGAGTTTTTAAAAGTAGAATTGGAAGCAGAGCCTTCAAGTATCAGGCCCCTCTTCTGTGGAATCAGCTCCCAGTTTGGATTTGAGAAATAGGCACTCTCTGCTTTTAAGAACTTGCTCTCCTGGATCACGTGACTCTGAACCATCCCCTAGTTATGCTGCACTGAGCATTTCTTCTTCACTCACCTCGTTTCACTCCCCACATGTTTCTGTACCACTGCAACATGTCAATAATGTTGGTCTCCTCTCTCCCTTAGCCTGTGTAATTTCCTGTCCCCATATGCTCTCTTTTTCTTTTCTGTTTCCTCTAACCATACCATCGGTCACAGTGGATAGCTGCCCCTGTCTGGACCTGGTTCGGCTGGAGGTTTCTTCCTCTTAAAAGGGAGTCTTTCCTTCCCACAGCTTGCTTGCTCACAGGGGGTCACTTGAGTGTTGGGGTTTTTCCCAGAATACTGTAGGTTCTTACAATAAAGCACTGTGAGGTGACTGTTGTTGTGAATTGTATTTTTGAATTCTTTTTTATGTCATTTTTACTTTTTGTTTTTAATTTAGTTCAGTTTCATTTTCATTCCCAAGTTAGTTGGTTTGTTTGTTTCAGTTTAGTTTGTGTTTGAAAAGTTTAGTTTCAGTTTTGTTGTTGTTGGTTTCATTTTGGTTTATGCCTTTTAAATTATTATTGTATGAAAGGTGTAACAGATGGGCAGGATTTAGGGAAACCATTACAAGAATTGCTATAAAAACACAACCTTTTCAAAGCAGCTGACTTACTGTCTTGTGGACATCCATAGTCTCAATAAACATATCCATCAAAGCTTCATCAGGGACGCTGTGATAATAGATTTTTTCCAAACTAACAAACACTAAAGCTAAGCAGATTTCCTATATATTTTTCTTTAATTTTCAAAGGGTTTTTTTGTTTTGTCTTATATTTTATCAAAAGTCAAGTTTTTTTTCATATACAGTTTTAATTTTTAGTTTAGTTTTAATTAAATGTAAAAACTTAAAACTTTGGTTGGAAGATGTTAATATATTGCCAAACCTGTTCTCACAACAAGTTATTAGCAGATTTCTGTTAACATTTGTAAAGACAGTAATTTCCCAGAGGATAAATGTCAATAAACTCCATGCTCTCCTCCCTTTTCCTTTAGCACCAGTATGAGACTGACATTTGTGGTTTCTGGTAAAATCCCCCAACTATTGGGTGGCTTGTTATAAATTCTGTAAGCTGCTTTTTGAGCCCCATCTTCCAGTAAAAATATTATTCATGTTGATGCCTTAAAACCTACAAAACAAAGTAAATCTCCATTAATTTTAGGTGTCTTGTGTCGTAATTAGCCAACATTTGTATGTTAAACCCATATGGGGGGGGGGGGGGTGTTATCCTGATTGAACTGGCATTTTAAGCATGCTGATGTTAGTAATTAGGACAAAAAAACACTGTCCCTGAAGACTCACAAATCCATTAGACAGTGTTTTGGTTTTTTGAGGTCTATTGTTATTTTACACTAGATTTTACAGAGGCACATTAGAGAATGTGTTAATAGATCGATAAAGAGAGAGAGTATGGAAGCAAAGAGATGACCAAGATGCCCTCAGACAACATTTTTATTAAAAGGGAGGTGGAAGAGAGCACTAAAGAAAAGATGACTAGGGAGGTGAAGGGAATGTAGAGGAAACTGTCCCTTCACAAAGCTTTTTAAATAGAGCTGGTCAAATCCTCCAAGAGACTTCACTGGCCACTGTTTCAGCATTTGAGCAATCTCAGAGAGCAGAGAGGAAGGAAAAAGCTCAAAAGGGGCGGTGAAGAGGAAGTGTAGATCAAGAAACTGAAAGGGAGCAAAAAGAGGGAGTGGTACGTGAGGAAAAGAAAGTGATCCAGGCTTAATTTTCATGTTGACAATAAATCCAGCTGAATTATGCCACTGATTGTCCAAAACCCCGTCCTGTGGATAGTAAGAAGAAGGAATGTTCCCAAATGGTACAATATGACAGTCTGGTAGTTTGTCTGAGGCCTGAGGTGGAAGAGAAGAAAAAGCCGCTCACTTTTGCAGAGCTGTGTCAAATGATTACTATTTTCTTTATTTGTTGTTTATGATTTAAAAAAAGAAAAGAAAAATATCCTCATAAAATCCCAGTGCTCAGGATGACCTCATGAAGTGTTTGATATGTCTGACAAAATGTTGAAAACACCCAAATTTTCAGATTTGTAATCCTGGTGACATATTTTCTACTAGTACAACTAGTACTTCTACTCGTATGTGAAGTTGACAGCTAGTTTTCTCTCTAATAACCTGTTGGTTAATGGTTAATTTATCAGCAGACTAGTTTACTAAAGTTATTCTCATTAAATCCCCTCACACAGACTGAAATATTAAAAAAGAGGGGTCAACAACTCCTCATTAAGCTCCTGTTAGAGATACGCACATGCTTAAGGATGAATTATAATGGCTACAAGGCAGTAAAGAAGGAAACCAACATTTTTAGAGAGTAATGTCCAGGAAAAGAGAGGCTGAACTGTGTAAATTTAGCTTCTTATTAATGGTTTATCTGGAATGTGAAGGATGATTCATTAAACCAGGTTGAGGATCTGATCTGTGCATACTAATGCTTCAATCAATATGGACCTTACAAGACTCAGCTACTGCCTGTATCATTCTTCCTTGAATGACTACAAGTGATATGTAAGTTTAAAAAGTGTATTTATAGAATGAAACATAATATATATATATATAAAAAAAAAAAAGGTCTTATGATAGAACATCACCATTTTGCCTTATCTGGTGATATGTGCTTCATAATGTGACATACTTTCAAACCATGGTATAATAAGTATGATGTAGCCGTGTTAGCTGACCTGAGGTCACCTGTGTATTTTTATAATAGTGTGCCGTACATATTAAATTCCATGATATGTAGCAGTTGTCTATCAGTCAGACAATTAGTTGGAACTGGCCCAACGTGCACCACATTAGGAAAATATTTTGTGTTTAGACGACATTCATTCTTCTCAAAATAGCTACTGACAACATGGCCCTGAGCCTGGTGCTTAATCTGAAACACTTAAGTGCAGCTCCTCCTAGAAAAGACAAGTGAATGTGCGTAAAGGTGTATCTTCAACCTGAAATGTCTTCAAAGCTGACATAGCAAACAGAACACCTGAGTGCTTTGACTGTTGTAGCAGTCTTCTGTCATACAGAGCAACTGTGTGTATTTTGTCGCCCCTTAGTGGTGGGAACCAGTCAGAACACAGTGTTCTGCTGCAATGCAGACCAAAGAACATTCATGTGTGAATTGATGTGTCTAAATGATAGTGGTTAGAAGCGGCTGACCTTTCAAAATAATATCTAAAGTTATTAAATGTCCACATTGTCTTTATTAAACCAACTATCAGTCAGCTTCAGCCGGCAGAGCTTCTGAAACACCAATGTTTCTTTGTTGACAGAAATCATGGCAAGCAGAGGATGTCAGTGACTCAGTCCCGAGAGAGCGAGCCCTGAAAACTGTCAGTTTCCAGGAGTCAGTCAGCGTTATCACTGACAGGCCTGCAGCCATGGAACTGGAGAGCCAGCAGATCCAGCACGACTGTCTCAGCAGTCCCTGTAACAGAGCCCACAGTCCAGTTGGAATGAAAGTAGAGACTCCTGACTGTGAGGTAGTGCAGGTATGCAGATCAAAACAAGTTAACTAAAAGGTTTTAACTTCTTGTTTTATTATTTGAAATTGGCGGCACATTCTGTCACAGTATTTTGAAATATGACTGTTGTTTCCACAGGAGATCTGCTACCTGGACCAGGTGTTAGATGCAGCCTCAGACACACCCACAAATGGGAACTCCTCTCTGTCACGTCACACCAAACCCATCAGCATAGATGGAACTTCTCCTTCTGTGTGTGTGTCACCCTCCTCCCCTGTCAATCACCACTCGATCGTTGTGGAGGGACAAAAACAAACCACGTTTCTCCACCAGGACGAGTCTGCCGTTAAAACCAACGGGCACGCGCAGGGAGACGAGTCTGGGGGCAGCAGGGCAAAGTTTGAGCTGCGAGCATTTCAGGAGGAGAAACGCCCGGCCAAGCTGTTCACCCCTGGAGAGGAGCAGCAGGTCAGGGTGACGAGGAGACGTCCCTCAGAGGAGGTAAAAGGCTGCTGGATAATGTAGCAAACTGTAACAAATACGCTATTCAGAAACACAGCCACAGGAGACCACGGTTTGTTTTATCAAATCATGTCTTATGAAAAAAAAAAATGATGTAAAACAAGCAAAGATGAGTTACTTGGGGTAGGTTTACCCCATTCACTAGCATGCTTTTGTTTATAATGATAAATAATCATTCTAATATGAAAAACAGCAAAATAAAATGAAATGATTAGTACTTAATGCAAAAAATGTACTTGCTTTCAGTTGCTCTATTTTAATACCAGAGGCCTACTCTTAAAGACCAGTGTTCCTTCATTATTACTATACAAAATATAAAACACCTGGAAACATTTTTAATGTACAAACTACGTAAGTAGAAAGGTCATGACTGAGATCACTGTAATCTTACTGCCACATAAGACTTCATATTGAATTGTGAAATACAGGCTTGAAGGAAGGAATTTTGAAATTGAAAGTGTGTGGCAACTGTCAGTGACTCATGATATGACATCAAAGCTCAAAAAGACATATGTGGTAACATAAATAGAAACAATGGCAATCCCCTGAAATTCTATCAACAGAAGGGGCTCAAAACACTGTTTTTGATCCTAAGTAATATTAAAGCATCATACTAAGACCACAGTCCAAAATGTAACCTCCCACAGGCCTCAGGAGAAGCCTGAAACTGCGACACTTTCCCACAATAGTTACACTTACTCATACACTAAAAGATTTGGCAAAGACTCGGGATTTTGCAAGGTTACTATTTGCAAGGAGTACAACTTAATTCCTTGAGAAATTGTTCCCGTCATGCTGCAGATTTCCAAGGAAGAAAAACTGCTGAGTAATGGAACAGACACAGAAAGAGCTTTAGTGGTTTGTTCTGAAAAAAAGACAGCTCTGACTGAGATTTATGAGCACCTTACACTGAATGATCGAGACACAACTGCTGTGATTTTACCGCAACACGATTGTGTGACACTGACGTTGCTTGAAAAGCTGTTAGCATTACTTGTAAGATGGCATTAACCAGTACACAATACACAATAAAAACTTTCTTTGTTTCCTTGTTGGTGCACTAGTTTATTGGAAATTCTCTTTGTACATTTTCACACTCTTCTTCTCCTGGTTTGTTTTTCCATGTCAGGTTCAGGAATTGGAGCGTGAGCGTCAGGAGCTGATCAGAGACCAGGCAGTGAAGAAAAACCCTTCGATTGCTCAGCGCTGGTGGAACCCTCCTCAGGAGGTAGATCACCATTTAATCTCTGGTAGTTTTCGTTTTTCATTTAAACTGTGTTGTCCTAATGACAAATTGATTGATTTGCCATTTTGTTGTTTCAAATCATTCAAGATCCCTTTGGAAGAACAGCTAGAGGCAGATAAGCTCGAGTCTCTCAGGAAGTACCAGGAGAGGAAACAGCAGCGGCATAATCACACTTATGCATACACACAGGTAAGACACACAAACACATGCACAAAACAAAGGAGCTCAAGCTCACACACTCTAACATGTTCTTTGACTTTGAGGAAGCATGATAAATTTGGACTGTAATAGATTAAATAAAGATGTCTTAAGCCTCGTTGCTGTGCAGTTTTCTAATTGACTCTTTTGTATTCTGTACTCTCATCTGTTTTGCAGCCTCAGGTGTCAGGCCCTCCCACAGTGGTAACCCTTGATTCGGAGCTAACCAGGAAGGAGGACATCGTGGAGGAGCAGATCAACTTCTCCTCTGCTAGGAAGCAGTTTTTGCAAGGGGAGGCTACCAAGAAGGATGTAGCTCCTCAAATATACTCTGCCAAACCCTTCTCGAAATCCACAGCCAGGGGCAGCCACGGGAGCAGTGACATTGTTGCAGAAACTGGGGAGACGCACGTGACCTGGTCTGATGAAAGAACTAAAGATGAATTCACATGTGCGCTAGCTGTGATGACAATCCTACCTGAGGAAGAGGAAGCAAAAGGTCATTTTCATCCAGCTTTTCACCCAGAGGAGTCTGACTCAGGACTGGACGAGTTATCAGTCCGCTCTCAGGACACTACTATATTTAGCTTGGATAATGTTTCTGACAGCGGGGCTTCGCTACCCCCTACCCCATTGCCACTTACCCCTGTGTCACCACCTACCCCTCAGCCAACTACTCCAGTCAACGGGCAGATGAGTGGCAGTCCAACAGAAGATGAGCTGGAGTACCACGCTGGGGTTCTTGTTCAAAATGCCATCCAAAACGCCCTAGCAGCTGAAAACGTAGAAGACTGGCAGCAAGCTGACTTGAATTCTTCACAGCTGAGTACCCCTGCATCTCCATGCTCTGTATCCACAAGCAGCCCAGTGCCAGTTTCTTCCTCCCCTGTGTCTTCTGGTGGAGCCCCCAGTTTCCAGTCACCTGTGTCCTCCAGTCCTGCGCCATCCAACTCATCCCCACAGCCAGACAGGCAGCCAGTGGTGAGAGTTGTTTCCCAAGAGAAGCCATCAGAATCACAAGAGGCTCAGAAGCAACAGCAGTCCCCAAGACCAGCACAATCACAGCTCCAGACGCCTTCTCCTCCACCGTCTCAGCCTGTCTCACCACCACAGAGGCCCAGAGACGGAGGTCCCAGGATTAAAATCCAGTCCTCCTACACCAGAGCGCTTGCTTCATCAGCTCCAGCCCCAGCTCCTGCGCCTGTGCCTGCTCCTGCCACAACAGCTCCTGTCTCTAGGCCAACCCCTGTATACCGTCCCCCGTCTCCTCCAAGCCCAGAGAAACCAGAGTTCAGCTACTTCAGTAAATACTCAGAGGCGGCTGAACTGCGTAGCACGGCGACAGCAGCGCGAGGGCCAGAGGTGGAGGCGGCTAGCGGCCCGTTCCGCCTGCGCTCCAAGAAGCAGCGAACTCTGTCCATGATTGAAGAGGAGATCCGAGCAGCTCAGCAGAGAGAGGAAGAACTGAAGAAGCAGAGGGAGGTGCAGCCTACCGTTGTTGTCCGGCCCAGCGGCACTTCCAGCAGTAGTCAGGGACCTGTGAGGACGGGGATGCGGCACGCCACTATTTCCCCCACAGATAAGATGAAGAGCAACAGTTTGCCAACTAGACTCACATTGACAGCACGGACAGCGCCAGGTCAGTTAGTACTGCAGGTCCTCACAAGGGTCATACAGTCATACAGTTAACAAGCTTATTAGTTTATTTTAAATGCCAGAATCAACCCATCAACTTCAACATTACTCAGTTGGAAAGCTAATGGGTAAATATTAGCATGTAAATTTGCTGTTTATGAATTCCTGTGACTAAAAGAAAGAGTTTTTTTTAGCTTCTTTTTTTAACAGAAGAGAGCCATGCAGCCAGCAGCACAAGGAAAAGTTGATGCTGTATTATTCTAGAGTGGTAAAGGAGGAAAAGCCCTATGTTAGAAATGGTCTAAAAGTAGCTCATGAGGTAGAAAAGGTCATCTACTAATTGGAAGTTGGTCAGATCCCCGACTGCTCCAGTCTGTGTGTCAAAGTATTCTTAGGCAAGATACTGAAGATTAAAATGCTCTTTAATGCGTCCATCCGAGTATCTATGTGTGTGAATGTTAGATAGAAAGCACTTAAGTATAGAAAAAGTGCTTGTGTGAATGGGTGTGAATGAGGCATGTTGTATAAAGCTAGATTTTGAGTGCTCAAGTAAAAAAGTGCTGTATAAGAATCAGTCAGTCCAACCACCCACAAAATGACTGCTTGCATGCTCTTTCCTCAGTCATAGCAGGCAGAGCACAGGTTTTCTGTGTCTTATGTATATCTAAGAACAATAGCTTTGGCTCCAAACGATGTAAATGTAACAATTTTTAAAAAGAAAAGAACTAAAAAAATGTTTAAATAACCCATAGTATGGATTTTTTTAATTTTTTTTATTTTTGGGGTTTGCAGGAAAGATTGAGAAAGTTCGACCTGCGCCACCTGTCTCCCCCTCGACCTCTGAAGGAGCCCTGTCTGATGCTGGCAGCGAGGACTCTGGAGGATCACGACCCAAAAACTTCATGCAGACTCTTATGGAAGACTACGAAACACACAAAGTGAAGAGGAGAGAGAAAATTGAGGACAACAGTGTAAGTATTTCAACCCAGGGAAAGATAAATGACTAGACACAGAATAAGAGAAAGAGACTGAGGTGCTTTTCACTCCAAAATCAAAAGCTTTCTGTTGCAGAAAACGCGTAATACAAAGCACCACAAACTAATGTAGTAGTTGTGAGCATCAGTTATTATAAATCCCCTGATCTCTGTGAAAGTGCCAAGAGATGACCCAGTTTGTCACATAATACGTATTTGTTCAGCCGGGCTTTGGTTAAATCACCTCCCCTAAATGTCAACGCCCGTGACCTGGTATGAGCACATACTGTGCATCACCAAAGGGTAATTCCAGCCTGGAAGAGAAGAGAGTCAAACAGTCAGAGTGAAAGTAAGAGGGGCTTTCTGTCCTGACCCCATGTTTTTGTCTTTTTTTTAATGTTTTGTAATAAATGTAATTCGACACCAGAACGCTCATGTATTCAAAATGGGGGTCTCACGAAAAGGTGAAAGGTTTGGCACGCAAACAGAAAGAAATTGTTGGAAATGTTGCGTAATCAGAAATGACAGACAGAAGTTTCACTTTTCAGTTCATGAGCACCGCACGCTCAAGTTCATATTCACACACAGCAGATCCACTGGGAGGGAACATTTCATTCCAGCTGCTGTAAGATCACATACTTCAAGTTACTTCACTGAATTTATTCCACACAAACATCTCTGCTGCGCAGTTGTTAGATGCTGATGTTGTTGCTAATTGTGCTTTTGTTTATCCATGATGACATCACATGTGTTGACTTCGTGTACTGTTGCTTCTCTCCTCCTGCTTCTTGATCAGTATGCCCGTTTGTTGCTGGCTAACGAGGTAACCACTGAGGTACCTGAGGAATCTCTTCCCTCCTGTAACTGCCTTTACTGACAGACCTGGGTCAGACCATACACATTAGATTCATATACAACAGAGTCCAAGTAGATGGCAAAAATCAGCTTTATGCAGTGCCGTGCAAAAGTTTCAGGTACTAAACGTGAACTAAGGATGGATTTAGATCCACTTCCATAAAGCTTCCTTCAGGGTACAATAAAAAGAAATCTGGTTAATATTTAGTGTGAGGACCCTTTCCCTTTACAGCATCATGGCCTCTCTGGATTCAAAATAAGCTATTTCTGAGTCAGTGTTGATACTAGGGTGAGCTTGAATAGTCAGTTTTGTTTAGGAAGAGTATTTGGACTAAGTGGCCCATGGGAGCCATACTAAGAGCTGGCTGGATTCTCTAAAGACTCAGGAAAAGTGCTTCAGTGCTTCCACCCCGTTAGCTGAGAATATACTGGATTATCCTCTATGAAAGAAAAGAAGTTACAGTTATGAATGTGGTTTCCATTTAATACCATAACCTGCTGTTATGTTTTGAACATCATCAAACTCCCAGCTGAGCAATAAACATGAAGCTCCTGTAATAAAAACCTTTATATAAAAAAAAGAGCTCTATTAAAATAATCAGAGTGAGTTTAAATTTGCATTACTTGTGTGTGTCTCATTGGATCGTTGGGATCATAATTTATTAATTGGACTTTGGGTCCCTCATTACATTCAGTTATTAATAATAAGAATCTAAATGTGTTTATTACCTAAAACCTTTGCACAGAAGTGTAGCATGTATCAGTATCACCTGAAGAAACTGCCTATTCACAGTGATTTTGACTTCCCGAGTCCAGTTACAGAGTCAGAATGAGAAGAGTTCCACTTCCACTTTGTTGTTTTCATCTTCTAATTGTCCTTCAGTCAGTCTTTTAGAAATGAAACCAGTGCTGAAAATGTAGATGGTAGATTGGAAACCATAGACAGGGCACTTTCTGAACAAAACCCACATGTGTTTTTATGTCTGCTCCCAGGTCTGGTGGTACTCTCATTTCCTTGTTCTGCTCTGTGGTGTTGGTGCTGCATGTGCTTGTCCGTGGATTTGGTGTGAACCTTTAATCCACACATTCCAATTTATGTACATGCTGTATAGAGTGTTGATTTAAAAAGTTTCTTTCAATATTTAAAACAGAAGGAGCCATTTTAATGGTGCCATATAGCTATATATGATAAATATGTTTGTAAATGATATTCAAAAGTGTGTAGTCGTTAAAAGATACGGTACTTGGGTGTGCTTCAATCTGACACTACGTAATTGGCCTGAGCTTTGAGAAGCTCATGTCCATACTTTTCTATCATCATGACTGCTGTCAGCCCTCTGCCACTACCCACAATCCACTTCAACTACACCCTGTCCTGATCTACCCTGGATTCCAGTTGACAAAGAAATCTTTTCCCCTTGTCCTTGTCTGTCTGCTTGAAGGTGATTGTGAGTATCAGCATGGGTGTGGGAGAGGAATAATGACTGGACACGTTTAATGTGGTGTTCAAGCATGAATTTTCCCTGAAATTGAGTAAAGTTACTTTTGTTGTTGCTGTCAAACACTGCAGGTGCTCTTTATTTTTGTCATTTAATTAAAGTGATTAGATGTGCACGCCCTCAGTGTTTGACATACACTGCATGTCATGTTAAAGTCACTGTGGCGTGCGTGTTTTGGGGTTTTTGTTGTTGTTGTTTTTTATGTTTGTAACAATTACATTGCTCCCGGTCGCACTTGCATCTGATTGGTTGCTTTGTAATCATCAGGTTCTGGAGGCCACTCGTGTGACCAGGAGGAAAAGCGACATGGCGCTGAAGTGGGAAGCCGGCATCTATGCCAATGAGGAAGGCAAGGAAGAAGAGGAAGAGGAGGAGGAAGAAGAGGAGGAGGAGGAGTAAAAAACTCCCTTCAGAGACAACTAACAAGCCAATTGGAGAGAATGAAGGAAGAGAAAGACTGAAGGAAAAGTGAGAAAGCAGGAAGGAAAACTATTTATTTTATTAAGAGTATCTGAAGATCACATGACCCCAGCAGTGTGAACCAGTGGGGCTTTTTGGACCTGAAAACTGAAGGTATATTAGCATGTTAAGTGGCTGAGGATGTGGGAAATATGTGAAGGTGGTCAGCAATAAAAGAGACACTTCAAAGGTGTTTGATGGTGGTTTTAGAGCAACGTTTAGTGTTTTTGATAGATGGTAGATGCTAAATGACTGAAATATTCTTAGGATTTTTCACCTTTATGCTATTATTCAAATAAGATCTAAAGCTTTTATTTTGACTGGTTGCCTGAGACTCTCTGATGGTGGTTTCATCTGCGCGTGCTATATAATAACCACAGTCATCCTCTGAAAGTGTGGAAAGCTTTTAATCAAGAGGACGATATAAAAGATAGGCAGATGCAGCTATTCAAAAAAAGAAAGTTCTGAGAGGAAGTAGACAAGGAGAGGCCAGATCACCCTCTTAGTTTTTGTAATTTCAGAAATACTTTTACCTGGATTTACTACTGGAAAGCTGCTGTGTTTTCCAAGAACCGAACCGAAAGGTGCCCCAAAGCGTCACTTTCAGAGCCCATAATGGCACAGTGCAGATATGACACAAGTTTGACACGCTTGCCAGGAGCTTTTGCCTTCTTGTCAAGCATCTTTACTGAATTTTGAGCAGTCAGCAGCCTTTTTGTGTTAAATGCTAGTCAAGAAATTAGCAAAACTAGCAAAACTAAACTTGCCTTAGACCGCCAGTGCGTGTCGGTGAACGGTATGTATTGTATCCTCTCCTATCCTGCATTACTACACTGTCGGTAGACCTTAGGGAAAATAAGCAACCACCTTAGATAGAAAGTTTGCC